GATAGGCGACGTGAGAAACGGCGCAAGAGGCATGATAAGAAATCGAAGCGTCAGTCAAAAAGGTAGCAGTAACCTTTAATTGTTGTACCCATGTGTTTTCATTCTCTTTACAGTTGTAGATGTTCACTTTCGCTTCTTACATAATTTTACATGAGATGCTCACTCTTATGGTTTGGACGTCTTCATGTTTGTGACCTGATGTGAACCTTTTATCGCTGATTTGTGAATTTACACCCCCCCACCCCCCCAGCAATGATTTCGTGCTAGTATTCAAGTGTGGATAACAATTACATGGATTGACGCTGGGGTATCATTTTAAATTCTCTTTGTTATCATTCAATAGAGATCTGTTTTTCCAAATTTTTTTTGTGCGACTCTGACTATTAATTCATTTCATACTGTATCTGTTATAACTTATCACTGTGTGCATTGGAAGTTTTTTTTTTTTTGGCACCAGGCTTCTAGAATTGAATTGGTTAATACTAAACCAGAAAATAATGCAGAAGAGAAAATGTTACTGCATCCTCCATCTGATGCTAATTTTGTCTTGTGGAAAAATCCTTCAGGGATAGTTTTTCTGATAGTGAAAGTGAGAATATGAGCAGGCGCAGCTCTGAAGACAATGGCGTGGAGATTCGTGAGTCAGATATGAAGCATAAAAGTCCAGGTAAGATGATGGTGGTCTACTTAACGTATCTATGTTATTCCTTTTGTTGATGCAATTCCCTGTTTGACATTTTACAGTACATCGATCTCTTCTGCATGAGCGCCAGGAAATTGCAACTGTTCATCACAGGAAAGGGGAGGTAGCTGATATGTTCGAAGGAGAAGAGGGTGAATTTCCAAGGGAAAATGGAGAGCTCCGAATCAACGGTATTCAAGGGGAACTGAGATCTGACAAGAGTGCAGATAGACACCCTGATATAGTAGATGATCGCCCAAGCAAATCTAGGTTTATATTCCATATCTTCGCACACCTCACAATTTTCTTTATGCTTACCAATTTTCCCAGATTCGGTATTTTATTAGAAGTTGATGAGCAGGAGCCGAAGTTTAAGTCCTAAAAGGACCATGAGTAAGAATATAAGCATTAGTCCGAAGAGGAGTAAGGGCAGAAGTCCAAGTGTTAGTGCAAGACATGACATGAGCAGGAGTCCAAGTGTTAGCAGAAGCCCGCAGCGGGTTGCTGAGAGAAGCAGAAGTAACAGTCCAGTTAGAAGTGGAAGCAGCAGGAGCCCTGTAAGAAGTCCAGTCAGGAGGAGAAGCATCAGCATGAGTCCCCCAGCAAGGTCTCAATCTCGACGAAGACCCAGCAGAAGTCCAACAGCATCTCCCAGAAGAAGAGTTACCCGGAGCCCACCTAGAACTTCATCGAGGAGGTCATCCTTGAGATCAGTTAGTCGCAGTCCTGTGAGATCTTCTCGAAGGAGTCTAAGCAGAAGCTCTGGTAAACCTCCCCGAACAAGTGCAAGCAGAAGTCCCGTTCGATCATCTAGGAGGAGTGTCAGCAGGAGCTCTGGTAGGGGCCCTCCTCGGAGGAGCCCTAGCCCAAGTCCAGTTAGGGCACCTAGCAGGAATAATCGTCGCAGCTATTCAAGAAGTCCTGTAGTTGCAGCGCGTAGGGCAAGGTCACCTGTTTCTGATCGTGGTAGGAGCTCGTCAAGAAGTCCTCCCGTGGATGAATCACCCAAACGTATCAGAAGGGGGAGGGGTTTTAGTGATAGATACTCTTATGTACGGCATTACAGGAGTCGCTCACCAGACCGATCTCCTGTAAGGTCATATCGTTACGGTGCTCGAAATGATCGAGACAGGTATTGAACATGCATTTCTATATTTCCTATCTAACTTCAAAATGTCATATATCTACATTACATATTGTTCTGCTTTCCTGTATTGGTACTGTTGGTTTTAATTCTCTCGTGTTAAATTTTATAGATATTCAAGTTATAGAAGATCTCCCAGGCGTTACAGGAGCCCTCTTAGAGGAAGAACTCCTCCCAGGTCTGTAACGTGTGGACAGTGCATTTCAATGAAAAACATTAGCTGATTTACTGTATTTTCATGTTTGTACTCTATAAGCACAATCAATGTCATGTGATACACGTCTTTCATTATGTCGGTATGTCCCAGCATGGACAGGTTAGAAGTGAAACATGTATGATGAAGTTTCTGGATTTTAGCTGCACATCTACAAACGATGTTTGACGATGGAATAATTTAGCTTGTGATAGGACGCAAGTTCCTTTATGTACTGTATTTTATCTTTTGATAAGATCTGAAAAGAGATGCCCATGTTGGACCATACTGAATTTTAAATGGGGATAATTCCTAGATACATGTAGTTTGCTCTGATTATTATAGTAGGCTCATAAACAACGATCTCTTGAAAATTTTGGTATATCTTCTGCCTTCCCAGGCATTCAGCTGTCTTATTTTAATGCAAGTTCCTGGTTCCTTTTGTTGCAGATACAGAGGCAGAAGGAGCAGGACACGCAGCCCGAGTGTATCTCGCAGTCCAATACGATATCGCAACCGGCGGTATAGCCGTAGCCGCAGCCCTGTTCGCAGTCGGTCTCCTGTGGGGAGATATCGTCCATCACCACGTGCTGAAAGGCGAAGGTCACCTTCAGTTAGCAGAAGCCTATCTAAATCACGGTCACCACTTGGTTCACAATCTCCTAAACGGGGAAGCAAGGATAACTCAGTGTCATCCTCTGAGAGTCCCCCTCGAAAGACGGGATTGGTTTCTTATGAAGATGGCTCTCCTGACTCGGATCGGGATTAAGAAATTTCAGTCTCTGGTGTCTAAACTAGCTAGTGTGATTAGCTAGTAGGCTCGTTTTCTTCTCTCGGTGATTTGATACGACTGAGATAAGCAGATGCCATATGGGAGTTCACTTATCGTTTGTTGGTGTGTGTTTTTATACGTATGTCCAAATAACATTGTATGCATTTTGGATTTGGATTACCTTTCATTCAAATTATTTTGGGCTTAAAACTTGAGACAATTTATTTCTAATAATATATGCAGAAAAATTGTAGCTGGCTACAACAAAAAAAAAAAAAAATAGAACATTTAACAAGTTTTAGGAACTATTTTTGATGAACATATGAAAAAGACATTTACCTTCTATTGTATGTGTGTTTGTCTGGTGAATTTTTTTTTTAATTAATGACCTAGTTTTTCCTTATTTGATATTTCGTAATACTTGATATTTCATTTATCTTTTGCGTTGTCTCTAGATTCGGTATTTGATTGATGAACAAATAAAATTTGAATTTTATCATTCTATTATCAAACTGAAGGTATTTTGTGTAAATAAAATTATTATGTCCCTGTTTGATAGATACCCTTGTTTGGCATCCATTTTAACGAGGTTTTGAAAAAAATATATTTTGGAATAGGAAATTTTTTTAGGAACATGTTAAAAAAAAAAAAAAAAGTTTTTAGTTTACGTGTAATATTATTTCATTGAAAAATTTGTAGTTAAAAATAAGAAAGAAAAATGTATTAAAATAAAAATGGAACTCAAACAAGGGAAAAATTAAGATTTTTAACAAATTTTGAAAAAAATTGATAAAATGTATTAAAATTAATTGTTTAGAGCTTGTTTGTGAGAGATTTTTGGAGGAAGAATTGATTTTGAATAGTGATATGATGAGAAATGTGTGGTTGAAAAAGAAGAAAAAATTATCGATGTGATGGAAAATATTATTTTATTGAAGAATGTGTGGTTGAAACTTGAAAATGAGAATTAATTTACCGTAGAAAAATCTAATCCCTCCCAAACAGGGCCTTACTTTGATTTTGATTTTATCTGATCTTTTAGCTTAACCATTTTCTTGTAATTTGATAGAATTATTAAAAGAGAAAAATCATAATTCTCTATTCCTGCACCAAGAAATCAGAAAGTGCAAAAAACTAGGAAGTTGCTGTTTGATAATTATTATTTCGAATCTCTTTATTCTACATATTTATTTTTAACCTAACATTAACACAATAAAATATTATATACATAAACCCAATATTTTTTTCCTACTTTTTAACCAACCATTCTCCAAAAATTCATTATTCAAAAACTTCATTTTCGCCAAAGAATTAGTCTAAATATACCGAATGATGTCCTCCATCTCACAATGCGCGTGGGCCCCATGTGTATTTAAAAATTTCGGCCTGTGGCCCCCACCTCCTAATGTGAGTGGGGTGTAAGAGATTTAGTATAAAAATTCGGTACATGTAGTATGATCCTTCGCCAAATAATGACTATCAAATGGGCTTATTACCACGGGCTGAGATAACAAAGGAATCTATTTGTCCCTCTCTTCTGGACGAACGGTTTGAGGGAGTACATTGTCAGTATCCTCCTTGTTTTCTACGAAAATGTTGTAAACGTATGCACCATTGACGAGCTCGTGCGGCTACTCTAATAATCTGTCAGAAACGGTTGAATTATTTCATTTCAGAGTTTAAGATAAAATAAGAATTTATTCATTAAGAGCTCGTTTGGTAGAAATTAAAATTGGTTTAAAATTGAAAAATTGGCCGTTATTGTTGACTTTTATTAGACGAGTGAGGCCCAATAACGGCTATATTTTCAATTTTAATTGGATTTTAATCGGTACCAAACGGGCTCTAAATTATGTCTTTTAACAGCCTACTTACGTGAATGTCGAATTAATTTTTTCAATAAAAGCATGACTCATACATAACATTTTTTAAACAAGCGACAACGAGACTTGAAGCTAAAACAAACTTATTTATTGAAAGTATGTATGGCTACGCTACATTTTCGTAAAGTTATTTTTGAGTCAAAATAAGTGATTTCTAATTTTAGAACAATCAGACGCAGTATTTTTTTTCCCTATTTTAGAATTTACTTATTTACTTGTAAGTAAACTTTTTAAGATTAGCCAAACATGACATGACAAACCATGTACATATATTCCACCTGATATTTATCAGTTCTCTCTTATCCCCAGCAACTGAGACTGAAAATATGTCTACAATTCAATTTCGTGAAACCATTCTTGAATGTCTTGCAGAAGCTCAATCCGATGAAAATAACCAAAAATCCCTGCAAACTTTAGCCACAATCACAAAAGTTAGCCCACAAAATAGGAATTTGCTGGCACAAACAAATGGTGCAATCCCTGCACTTCTCCAACTATCCGAGTCATCAATCCCGAATATCCAAATGCTGTCACTATCTATACTCTTCAACATGTCCCTTAACCCGAATCTCAAACTCTCTCTAGCAGATATGGGGATTATTTTCTATCTCAACTCTGTAATTCTATCCCCCAGCTCGACGGAAATCAGCAAACTAGCAGCCTCTTTGCTGTGCAGCCTGGCAATGTTGGACAAGAACAAGGCGAAGTTTGGCGTGGCTGGTAATGTTGAAGATATGGAAATATCTCAATAATTTTACGTTAAGTTTGAAAATATTTATTTAATAATTTGATCATGTTTGGCTAACGTTAGAAAGTTTACTTACATGTAATAAGTTTTAATAAATAATTTCTTTGACTAATTGAAGTTGAAAATAAGTTAGTTATTTTGACATTGAGCTAAGAATTACTTTCAGTATGAGTAACATTTTTTAAGGTTTGGAAAGAACTCCGTACTTTTTTAACTCGTTAGCCAACATACTCGATCAATTATGAAACAGGCACTGTTCAGGCTTTGGTGAAAGCAATTTCGAGGCCCAATAATCCTGCAGCTCATCACTTGCTTAGCACATTGGCCGAGCTCGTGCAGTTCCATGGGAATTGCACGGTGGCAGTACAGTCAGGAGCAGTTCCGGTGCTGATCCAAGCAGCAGAAAGCACTGAAGGCGAGGGTCTTGCGGGAGCTTCCTTGGCAATCCTAGGATTACTCGCCAGGTTCGATGAAGGATTAACGTCCTTAAGGGAAACAGACGAAATTGTAAGAAAAATGTTGGAATTTTTAAAAGAGAAGTGCATGTTGAGTAAGGAGGGGGCTGCAGAAATTCTTCTGAGGTTGTTTGATGACAGTGAAGGGTGCCTGAGAGAAGCTTTAAGGCTGCCAGAATTTTCGTCTGTGCTGGCTGATATTTCAGTGAGAGGTTCAGGAAAAGCTCGAGAAAAGGCTGGTTTACTGATGAAAAAGATCATGGAAGCTAGCTATAATTCACCTGTAGATGGAGATTCTATGTTTCTCCAATGGTAATCTGATTTTCAAATTGTGACGGACTAAGCCTAATGCTTCCTTACTCATTCGAGCAATATTATATAACGAATAAAAAATGAAAACAAGAGAAAGCACATACAGATTTTATTGACATTTATCATTGATACTTTTGTTGTCATTAGTCCTATATTTTTGATGTACTAAATTCTAGCTTAAGTCGTATTTTACAAGCTAAGTAAAGTAAGGTGCTACACAGCTGCCAAATGTGTAAGGTGGTAGTAGGTAAAAATAGTGGTTGGTTAGAAACTTGTGATTTAAAAGAATGATGGCTGCTATACATGTTTCAGCCGGTTTTGTTACTCAACTATGTATGAATGAAAATTGATATTTTTCCATATCTTTGAGTTCAAATAACAACAGTGGTATCAGAGCCTAAATCGGATCTTAGAAGGGCTGTAAAGAGTTGAAGAACTTAAGAAACCGGTAAGAACGTTACCAGCAACTCTGAGAGAAAACCAGAAAGGAACCTTCATACTAGCCAAACGTGTGACTGTGAGTGATGGCTTCCAGTGGTTTTATAGCACCTTTGCCTTCAGTATTTATGGGAGAAAACTATGACTTCTAGTTTGCAAAGATGAAAGCATATCTGAAGGCGTATGACCTCTGGGAGGTCAGAGAAACTGGGGCTAAGCCTCCTCCATTGAGAGCAAATCCCACCATTGCACAATTGAAGCAACATAGTGAAGAAATTGCTAAGAAGTTTAAGGCTTTTTCCTGTATCCAATCAGCTATCTCAGATGCTATCTTCACTAGGATTATAACTTGTGAAACAGCAAAGGAAGCTTGTGACTGATTAAATGAGGAATTTCGAGGCAATGAGAGAACCAGGCAAATGGAGGTCTTGAATATGAGAAGGGAGTTTGAAACTCTAAAAATGAAGGATTCGGAATCTGATAAGGAGTTCTCTAATAGGTTGATGAAGGTGGTGAATCAAATCAGGTTGTTAAGTGATGATTTTCCAGATAAAAGTGTAGTGGAGAAGGTCTTGATCAGCCTACCTGAAAAGTTTGAAGCTAAGATCTCCTCACTTGAAGATTCCAGGGATTTGTCTGTTACCTCCTTGTCCAAATTAGTTAATACTCTGCAAGCCATAGAGCAGAGGAGATTAATGAGGCAAGATGAACAAGTTGAAGGTGTCTTACTTGCTAAGGGAAAGCATAAAGCTCAAACGAGCTATACTGTGAAGAAAACAATTAATGAAAAGAAAGAACTGAGAACTAGAAATGTGCTGGTAAAGGAGGTAAATATCCACCTTGTCCACATTGTAAGAGGAAGGGACATTCACCAAAATGGTGTTGATTCAGGCCAACAGTGCAATGTAGGGCCTGCAAATAATTTGGCTATATAGAGAAAGTTTGCAAAAACCATAAGAAGAAGCAGGAACCACAGCAAGCCCAAGTTACAGAGAATCACCAGCACGAAGAACATTTGTTCACGGCTTTGAACTTGAAGGTTTTCCAGTAGTGATGAAGCTTGGCTATTGGACAATGGTTGTACTCATCATATGACCTTCAATCCTAACATCTTTGTTGAATTGAATGATTTATATAAATCAAGAGTTAAAGTGGGGGATGGAGAGTTTGTTGAGGTCAAATGTGTCGGTGAAATCTTTGTATAGACCTCTACAGGTACCATGTATACATATGATGTTTTATATGTTCCAAACATTGATCAAAATTTAATAAGTGTTGGTCAATTGATTGAGAAAGATTATACACTAGTATTTAAAGATAAGGGATGCATTATACTTAATCTTAAAAATCAAGAAGTAATGACCATTTGCATGAGACATAGGAGCTTCCCACTAGAATGAAAAAATGTAGGAGATCATGCACTTGCAGGAACTGTCATTAAGTCTGCTTTATGGCACAAAAGGTTTGGTCATGCTAACTACACTTCACTTAAGCAAATGTATGATCTGGAATTAGTTGAAAATGTTCCTGAAATCAGTCATATAACTGTATGTGTGATGTATGCCAACTTGAGAAACAAACCAGATTGTCTTTTCCAAAGAATCAAGCAAAAAGGGTTACAACAAGGCTTGAATTGATATACTCAGATGTCTGTGGACCAATGATGACATCAACATTGAATGGAAACAAATATTCTGTTCTCTTCATTGATGATATGTTAAGAATGTGCTGGGTATATTTCTTAAAGATAAAATAAGAGGTATCAAATGTGTTTCAGAGGTTCAAAAGCTTGGTGGAAAATGAATGTGATAGCAAAATCAAAGCCATTTGGTCTGATAATGGAAAATAGTACTGCTGCAGCCCAGTTTGACAAATTTTGTGAAGAAATGGGGATAAAACATCAATTAACCGTTCCCTATTCTTCACAGCAGAATGTAGTATGTGAAAGAAAAAATAGAACGGTTATGGAGATGGCTAGATGCTTGATGATTTAGAAGAAAGTTCCAAGGGAGTTCTAGGCAGAAGCTGTGAATACTGCAGTGTATCTACTCAACAGATTGCCTACAAAATCTTAAGATAAAAAGACTCATTTTGAAGTTTGGTATGGAACTAAACTAGATGTTTCTCATCTAAAAGTGTTTGGGAGCCTATGCTATACACATGTACTTGAAGTGAAGAGAGATAGCTGAGTCAAAAGGCAGAAGTTGGGGTTCTAGTAGGCTACTGCAGCAATGCAAAAGGATATAGAGTCTTCAATCCTCATACCAAGAAAATAATCTCTAGCAGGGACATTAAAGTTGATGAAGAAGCCTCTTGGAACTGGGAATCAACGGGTGACAGTCAATCTCAAATTCCAAAAGCAACACCTTAGATAAATGATGACGATGTCAATGAAGAAAAGGCAACATCTGATAGCGAGTCTAATTCAGAGACTATTGTTCTAAGAATAAGGCCACTTGCATATATATATGCTAGTGTAATTCAGCCACTTTGGAACCTTCAAACTTTGCTAAGGCTGCAAGCTCAAAAGAATAGTTGGTTGCAATGAAAGATGAGTTAAATATGATTGAGAAAAATGGGACTTGGTTGCTGGTTGACAGACCAAGAGATAAGAATGTAATTTTGGTTAAATGGGTGTACAAATCAAAACTGAATCCAGATGGCTCGATGAACAAGCTAAAGGCCAAACTGGTAGTGAAAGGGTATGCTCAACAATATGGTGTGAACTTCAATGACACGTTTGCACAATAGCAAGGTATGAAACCATCAGATTGCTATTTGCAATAGCAGTTCATAGTGCCTGGGAGATTTACCAATTAGATGTCAAGTCAGCATTTCTGAATGGACACTTAGAGGAGGAAATATTCATTGATCAACTAGAAGGTTTCCAAGTTATTGGGAATGAGGACAAAGTATATTTGTTGAAGAAAGCTTTGTGTGGCTTGAAACAGGCTTCAAGAGCCTAGTATAGAAAGATAGATGAACATCTGAATAAGCTTGGATTTTTAAGAAGCATGAATGAGCAAACTTTGTACGTAAAGGAGGAGATGTTGAAGGAGAAAAAGAAGATGATCATCATTTCATTATACGTGGATGATCTTCTGATTACTGGTAGCAGTTGCACATTAATTGAGCAGGTAAAAGATGAATTGAAAAAGATATTTGAGATGACAGACCTTGGAAAGATGCAATATTTTCTTGGCATGGAAATATCTCAAACTCAAAAGGGTATATTTGTTTGCCAAAAGAAATACATCAGAGAGATGCTAAAGAAGTTCAGTATGGAAAGATGTAAACCAGTAAATACTCCATTAGTTTTGAATTTGAAATTAATGAAGGATGATGGAGCCAAGAAGGTAGATGAGAAAGTGTATAGTAGCATAGTTGGATGCCTATTATATCTGACTTCTATCAGACCAGATATCTCTTTTGCAGCTAGAATTTTATCCAGGTTTAGATAGGAGCCCAGTGATCTTCATTTCCAAGCAGCTAAAAGGGTGTTGAGATATGTAAAAGGAACATAGGAGCTGGGGATTTAGTTCAATATATCAGAAAAGCTACTACTCATTGATTTTACAGATAGTGACTGGACTGGTTCAATTGATGTTATGAAAAGTACCTCAGGCTATGTGTTTTATGTTTATTCAAACATAGTGTGCTGGAATTCCATGAATCAAAAAATTGTAGCTCAATCTACTGCAGAGGCAGAATACATAGCAGTTTTAGAGGCCACCAATCAAGCTATCTGGCTAAGGAAAGTGTTGGAGGTTTTGAAGTACAAACAAGATGAAGCCATAACCATCTTTTGTGACAACTAGTCAGTTGTGGCAATGGTGAAAAATTCGATTTTTCATGGAAGGACAAAGCACATAAAAATCAAATATCATTCAATAAGAGAAGCTCAAGATAGGAAGGATGTGAAACTGATGCATTGTAGCTCTGAGGACCAATGTGCTGATATTTTCACTAAGTCATTGCCTAATGGAAGATTTGAAACATTGAGGAGTTGCCTTAGTGTTTCCAAAAAAAGTCTCAAGGAGTAGTATTGACATTTATCATTGATACTTTCATTGTCATTAGTCTTATATTTTTTAAGTACTAAATTCTAGCTTAAGTTGTATTTTACAAGTTAAGTAAAGTAAGGTGTTGTAGTGATAAAGCAGCTGTCAAATGTGTAAGATGGTAGTAGGTAAAAATAGTGGTTTGTTAGACACTTTTGTAATGTAAAAGAATGATGGCTGCTATATATGTTTCAGCCAGTTTTCTTACTCAACTAGGTATGAATGAAAATTGATATTTTTCCATCTCTTTGAGTTCTGATAACAACAGATTTATATCTTGAATTTTTCCATGGATAGAGACTCCATGATTTTTCCACTTCAACTTAAATTTTTTTATTTTTATTTTTAAAGCCACATTATGTTGCTAAAATTCTGCTTATGTATCCCAATTAACAATATTTGTTTTTTGCCAAGTAGACTGCTACACCAGCATTTTTGATGTCTAAAAGACTGTTTCTAAAGGTTAACGTATCTAGAGAAAAGAATTTATGTGAAATGATTAGCG